TAGATCTCTGCTATGTGATTAGTTATATGATGATCGTTGATGCACTTTTACGGACTATTTGGACATGACCATGAAAATATTTTATGAAGAAAATCAAATCGAATGCGTCAATTTTATGCTGTTAATAACTTACTACATATATTTATTCCCAGAAGCTGGAAATCCTGATATGAATTAATGAACAGCATTATTTGTTTTTAATCGCTTCAATGTTAGAAACTCTAAACAGTGGTGAAGATATAAAATATATTATTATTACGAAGTAATGAACTTTTATTCTTGTCGAATAATGATTTAAGAGAATAAAATGCATCGTTTCGTTCAGTAAGACCAGAAAATAGTAAATATGTATGCAAAAATCAAAGCATTACATTTATTTACAAGTCGGTAAATGACAGTAATACAATTAACATAAGAAAATTAAAATAAACTTTTTGGAAATATGTTCTCTTTTCTTTATATTCCATTTAACCAGACTGAGCCACGGCAACCCGTGACTAAATATAGCTAGTACACTAATCATAAAATTAATTATTGATAATCTTCAATATACATCTACAATGAAGTCATTCTGCAGTTTTAACAGATCAGGGATGTACTTTCACTTAAATTTTAGAGCTGTGAAAATGTAATGTTTTATTCTTACTCGGAACCCTCTGTTTTATAAAAACCTGGGTGTCAATAATTTTGGTAAGTTATAAAGTATACTTCGTGGGTCCTTCATTTTTATAGCCAGTTCAGTATTTCAGACTTTGTCGAGAAATTCTATTATGCCAGATCTTAAATGCACCTGAAGCTGGAATAATCGTCCTTAAAGTTTAATATTCCCCAAGAATCTTTTGTGGGCCCTTCATTTTTGCGCTCTCCGAATCTCTTTTGGTTTGCGCTCTCCGGATCTTATATGCACCTGAATGATGCTAAATGATCGTCTTTGTAGTCTCATATTCCCCAAGAATCTTTTGTGGGTCCTTCATTTTTATAGCCAGTTCGGTATGCCAGACTTTATCTATAAAGTTGTAGAACTATAAAGATGGGTTCTTTTTTGCTTTGCGCTCTCCGGATCTTATATGCACCTGAATGATGCTAAAATGATCGTCTTTGTAGTCTCATATTCCCCAAGAATCCTTCGTGGGCTCTTCGTTTTTATAGCCAGTTCGTTATGCCAGACTTTATCTATTGGTTTGCGCTCTCCGGTACTTATATGCACCTGAATGATGCTAAAATGATCGTCTTTGTAGTCTCATATTCCCCCCAATCGAAAATAAAGAATCTTCAAAATTTAAATAATGAAATACTTGTCACATAATAATATATAATTTTAATTCCGTATTATTTTTAGTAACAACGCTATTAAAATTATTAATTTAATAACCTTAAGCCGATAAAAATTTCTTTTTAATTTAATTTATTTAACTTCATTCATTTTGTTTGTTTATTTGTTTATTTATTCAAATCGTGACCCTCAAAAGGTAGTCAATGATACAATTTGCAACACTTATTAATGACAAGAAAAAGAGTTTAAAACAAAAGCAAAAAATAAAGTGCAAAAAAATAACAACAACACACACGACTGCCAAATACAACAACATAAACACTTGACAAATACAAAATGTATTCCAAGCACAACAATAACAATAACAAACTCAAAGCAGTAGCAACAACAACAAGAAAAACCTCTTCAAAGTTCAATGAAAGAAATTTTACGCACGAATCAATTAGTTAGCGCCTCACTCTTATCGCTCGCCTCATTGATTTGCCGTGAGTCTGATTATTGAATTGAATGAAATTGAAATAAATTGTGAATGTCTGTATGTTTCGCAAAAAACATGCGTACTTAAGAGCTAATAAATAATAATAAAAAAAAAATTAATAATTAATAACATATTTAATGTGTTATTTATTAATTAAAAATAACTTTCAATTATTATTAGACTTTAGTAATTTTGTAATTTATTTGACGGAGATTGTATTGTTATTGGACTTGAACTATTAGACCTCGCTGCTCTCTTTGAAACCTATTCTCTGATTTCTAAAAATATGAAATTGATAAAAAAAAAACTGTATACATTATAGGTGAACTCAATATGTTTATGTTTGGAAGGGAAAGTTTTAAAGTCCAAAATAAGGAATTTAATATTTTTTTCTATTGTTATATTTGACTTTTTAGTGGACTTAACTAGCACTTTTACATTGTTCATTTTTATTAATTTTTATGTATACATATTCTATATATTCTGTTATACATATATTCTATATATTACTCTATTATTCAATATATTAGTCTTTTTTGGTACTAGTAGCCCATATTTTGAATTTTTTTTAATTATTTGTTCAGGGTGCAATCAGAAACATATCCAGATAGACATATTAAAAATCAGATTACAATCAAGCGTTGTGGTCCGGTGTATGTTAGGTGTACCTTCGTTAATTTGGTACTAATAATCAATCCATTACCGATTGTGATCAAGACACATATTAGAACCGGATCAGTTTTCTTTTAACTAACATAAATCAGTTTTTTAGTCTTAGCATCATAATCATGTACCATAAACCTATACTTTTGATATAGTTTTTCGTATTTAGTAATTTCGATTTAACACTTCACTGAAAGGAATCCAAAAAAAAATTTTAATCAGGTGTGTTCACCACTGACTGCATGTATAAGTGAACTGAAAGAGCTTACTTCAAAATCACAATGACTTAATTACTTTAGTAAATGCGGTTTACGTTTTTTATAGAATTGTGTATATTCACATTATTCAATATATGATAAGAATTTCTTTTGTCATACAAAAATGTTTACAATAATATAACAAATTTATTTGGTATTTATAAAAAAAATAGGCTTGGAATCGTATGTAGACAATTATGATATTGGAATATACCTTTAGATTTAGAATTGTTTACACTTTTAAAAGCACACTACACTTTTGTTTTTTGAAGATACAGTCTCGAATTTTATGTCCTTTTGAGCTATATCTAAACAAACGCTTATTAAATATATAAACCTTACAAAAGAATTTAGTCAAAAGTTATGTACTTCATTTAATACCACGAGATTAGAGAAAGGTTTTGGGCTTATATTTTGGAAATGGTAAGATTTGAATAAAAAATAGAATGAGAATGGTAGAACAAGAGTAAAGACACTTGTAAACTATCACACACAACGGGATTATTGACCGGTCACTGTAGATTTAACAATCACCTAACGGAGGTAAGAATTTAATACAACTCAGATAGCAGATATTATAGAGATGGAGGAGAAACTGCATAACATGTGCTTGGGGAGTGCCTGGCACTGATGCACAAGCGGAAGAAACACCTAAGAGGGTATTTTATGGATCATAAGGATTCAAGACTAGGAAAGTTAGGCTCTATATAGTCTTTCATTAAAAAAATCTGACTTAGAGAAGCACTCTAATACGACTAAGAGACACAATAGATCTATTAGGTCGCAGTACAAGGAATTACTTAAAATTCAGACAGTTAACATGTACAATAATTTACAGGAAGAAAAGAATGAAAGTTAGTTGAATTTAACATATAGCTGTGTATGAACGTTTAAAAAAAATATACTAAATAGACATATAGCTGTGGGATTATTATAGTATAATGTGTGCCTATACAAAAAGACTTTCATTAATACTGGAAAAACAACATAATTAGTTTAGAATGGATCAAGGGAGTTATTCTTTTGATCTCAGCTGAATACTTCACTGATAACTTCTATATGGCAGATGCAAAACGTGGTGGTTTTTAGTCTTCCAATTTGTTTAGTTTTATCGAAAAAAGTGTAGAGATTGGTGTAAATATTTAGTCTTTGTTGGGATTGTGTGAAGTACCTTTTAACTCTCTTGAGCACAGTTAAAATATTAACATAATTACACATACATTAACTCTATAATAATCTTGAAGACAATGACTGATACCTTTGTATAATTTCAACATTTGTGTGACTAGCTGTGTGTCAAAACTGTATTATTATTCTTATTATTTTGTAGTAAAATTAGTCCCTATAATAATAATTAAATTACATCTAACTTTATTTATTGAAAAAAAATATCTTTTAAATTACATTTAATCCAATAACTCATTTCAATAACACATTTCTCAGAATTCCAAGAAATCGCAAGAAATAATTAATCACTTAATTCATTTGTCTTCACTTCACTCCACTCTTATCTTTTTCGTTTTTGTTAAGAACAATACTGTCTACAGATCAATAGGGAACTCATTAGTTCTTTAATTACGGCCACATTTCCCAAAGAGATAATTTATTTTTTTTTTGAAGAATTCAACTTTTACTTGTAGTTGCTAAGTAAATACGGCTGAGTGCCTTACCTTTACTGGTGTACATGTATAGTTCTATAGTGATTTGGTTTTTATACAATTTATAATTTAATGATAAGATCGTTGTTTATGTCTAGGGTTTTATAATCTATAAAGGTGACAAAGTACAATTAATTAGCAATATTTGAATTATTTTACAAAATACATAAAAGTATTTCCGTTTGTGGAGTGTGATTAAAAATAAAAAAAAATTATACAACTTTAACCATTTAATTATTTAATTTCATACGCATTATAAAAATCTCTATTTGCATATAAATTAAATGAAAATTAGTTTGCACTTAACACTGATTTCTATAAGTCTATATCACAGTTTTTGCGATAAAAAATAAAAATGTTGGTCTTTGCAATTCTATAGAATTGTATACATTGACCTATTTTTATTATTTTTGTAATAATATCTACACTCCAAATATTTAATCATAGTATTTGCCTTTCTCACTCTATCGTACGTCATCAAAGCTCTATCGTCCACCAAAGCTGGTTAATTCTCTTCAAATACCAATATTCAATAATCCACATGGATTTAGTTAATTTTAATTAAAATATTTTTATGATACACTAGAATTACTATAATTCCAAATTAATATCCAAATATATATCTAAATATTTACAAAGTGATTTCTCTATTCTTTCCGCATTTTTCACAGGGACGATGAATATAGCAAATTTGTGCCGATTAAACAACAATTTGAGATTGTGCCGTATAAAGATAAGGAGCACTATCAGTGTAGTTCACTATCAGTGGCATCGGACAATAGTTGTGAACGAGCGTCACGGCGTGGAACATTTCATCAGGTGTGTTTTTAAACAACTATTACTATAATAGACAATAAACAAATATAAATAACAAATGTAAATATTAAAATAATAAAGCCACTCAGAGTCCGTTTTTAATAAATCATATTTTTTTTTCTGTTAACATGAAACATACTGGGAACTTCCGAGAATAATATCTAGTATAAAACTATTTATTTATATCAGCGATGGCAAACCCATGGCACAGAAATGTTTGTGGCACGTTACTGTTTTTTATTTAGATAGTCAAGTCCCATAAATATAACAAACCGGGAGCACGTGCGGTGAAAAGATTAGGCAAATGTTATAATTAAATGAACTATTATTTATTTTTTGTTTATAAAACTTTAAAGGTATTATCTTTAATAATATCTGGATACACAAATAGTTGCCACGTGTTTATAAAAAGGTTTGCCATCACTGATTTTTATTAATTAAGGCGGCTTATGCGAACAATTCAAAAACATATATATTTTATATATTTTTAAATTGTTAATATAGCTGTTACTCACTACAGATAAATAGTCAGAAATAGTCAGAAAACTTTAAAAACATGATATTTATATTTACATATATATATATATATAAAGTGTATATATACACTTTTACAAAACTGTACAAGATATCAATATGATTCTTTATCATTTTAATCATTAATATACGACATTTTTATTTATGAAATTAAAAATTCAATTCTGCAACACTAATTAATCCATAAAGTACATGAAATTATAATTCACATTCACTTTAAAGTTTTAAATAATATTAATTATTTATAATTAATATATACTATTTTATAGCTATACTTAATTAATTTGTCAATGTTTATGCCATAAAATAAAGTATAAAGCCACACTAATGTATACGACCAGTTCAAATCATTTTCGTTTTGAATATTTAACTTATTAACTTTCCAAACCAAATATTTAAAAACAAAACAAAAATACATTTGTATTATTAAATTTTAATAAAAAAAATTGTTTCCCATACCGGGAATCGAACCCGGGCCTTCTGGGTGAAAGCCAGATATCCTAGCCACTAGACCATATGGGATATTATTGGTGGGATGCCACATGTTCTATATAAAATCTTTTTTTTTAGATGCAAGAGAAAAAGCTTTTCATTTTTACATATTCTCTTTTGCTTATGTTTGTATCTCTTAATCCAATCTTTCCTCTTTAGTAGAGTAGCGCAAAAATAGTATTTTTGAACATTATTCCCTATAAAATTACAACAACATTGACCTACACCGAAATGGTAATATTTACAATCAATAAGAGATCGCCTTTTGGTTTTGTATTGTTAAAAAATTAAATAATTTTAATTAAAAATTTGAAGAAAAGATTCTTTTCAATATTAATTTTTCAATTATTTTTAAATTAAATTTAAATTTAAAAAAATACATACCGATAAAAGATGCATATAAATAAATTTTAGTATATAAACACTCGGATGTATAAATAATATTATAAAATTAATTAATGAGTTTATTTATGTTGCACATTTATGAACTCTTCCAAATATCCACTTTAACTGAAGCGAATCAGGAACCAAAACATTATGACTTTGAACTGAACTGCTAGTGTACTGGTTGGATAAATCGGGTCTTAATTTAAATAATGGATTGAAAGTATCAAATAACTTCAGAAACTTATGCGATTCAAAGCCAGAATGTTTATATGAATATTAAATGTATTGTATAAGAAGTTCTATATAGAAAATAGTTCAATTTTAATGGCAGTTTCATTTTCTTCTATTCTACGTGTATTTTATACCATATATCTGTAGTTTTATAGATTATTTAATATTGTCAATTTTTATATAAAAATATTTTCATTTCCTTGTCATTGCTCTTATTATTTTTACTATTATTATTATAATTATTATTTATTGCTATTTTTTAACTGTTATAACCGTTGCATTGAGGTGAAAGCAAGTGTAAAATAGAACAAGAAGCAACAATGCAAATACAAAACTTATACACAAAAGAATAAATTGTAGTATTTATGCGACAACAACGATGTTTTCTTTGAAATTTCAAGATTTTATGTACACAAAATTCAAAAACCACCTATTGACTTTTTTTGAAAGACACGTACACATATGCTAGGAAGTATAAGTATTAATGAAGGACTTTGTGAGTTTTAGTTTAATTATTTTTGACATATTTTTGTAATATTGAGCGTTTCTATATTCACAAAAAAATAATTTTTTAAAAGACTTTCCTCTGACAATTTTATCTCGGTATATATCAAAAACGGACCACCAATTAATTTTTTATTAAGTATATCAAGGAATCTCGAAATTATTTCTCTTTTATTTAATATTATTCATTTTTTTATTTTTTTTATAATAAAAACAGAAACTGTAATTGACAATTCTTTATTTAAAATTAAATATATATATTCATAAAAGTACAATACAAATACCTTAAAATCAGTAACAAATTAATTAAAAATATCACTTATACGTCACAATGTCTGAAGTGCCACAAAACAATACCGTAACATTCACAACTCAATATAAATGAAATCGTGCCACTTAAGAACGCAAAACTGGGTCATCCTCCAATAAAACTTATATGCCTGGAAAAAGTTTAAAATTATTACACATCAACAAATAATAATTTTTTTATATCTCAAGCTATTCAATTGTACCCGTATTTAATAATTGTATGAACCAATAAAACAGTAATAAAATGATCAATTTTTATTTTCTTTTCTCTTCTTCTCTTATCGTCAAATTGTCACCGTGGATAAAAACCTCTTGCGATCTGCACTGATTAACGTGGACAGATAATTGCAACGTGTGCCGTACTGTTACTCGCAGCTGCTTGTGGAATGCCCATTGGTTACTCGTCGGTGCTGCTGCCTCAGTTAAGTGTTACTAACAATACCAACGAACACTCTGAGATTCCTATTAATATTGCAATGGGCTCATGGATTGGTGAGTAAAAGTTTTGGCAATTACTTGCAAATATTATTAGTTTTAGAATTCGGTTTTCTGATTTTCAGCAAGCATACACAGTTTAGCCACACCCATGGGTTCAATAATATCGGGACCGTTAGCTGACAGTATTGGACGTCGAACTACCTTGTTGATTTCGATAGTACCAATGTGTATTGGCTGGTGTACAATCGCTAATTCACAAACTTTTTTTATGATTATCGTAGGACGATTCCTCTGCGGTTTTGCTGTTGGTATTTTGGGAGGACCCGGACAGGTAAGCAGAAGAATATTCTTTATTTTGTATTTGTTTTCATGTTTTTATAAATTTTGTAAAATTAAGAAAATATTTTGATAATAAAAATGCTTAAGCACTGATGTTATTTTTGATACATTGTAAGCCATGTGACATTGCTACTTTGTTAGGCAAATTCGGTTTTAACCGTTTTAAGAAATTTTTTTTTTGAAATTACCCTGTGCGATTGTTGAAGGTTATTATTTTTTCAAGATCCATATTTGGATATCACAAAATTAGTTAGAATTCGTGAGCTTGTAGGTGTCCCTACTGGAATGTTTTCATTTTACAAAACGTGGACATTTTCGCAAAAATGTTGTCTTACTCCCTCGCTTCCAGTATTTAATTTAAAGAATATTATTAACTTTTCGAAATGAGAACTTATAGACCATTATATTGTCAAAATAGTTCTAAGTGTTGCTACTGCGAACGCAACCTTACCCAGGAGCATTTTTGTTCTCAATAGATTAGACTTATCAAGTTAAGTCAATTAAATTGAATTTTCATGGCCCATTTAAGTTTTTATTAATCTTCTGTTGAATCTTCTCTTGAACACTTCTTATGCGTTCTAATCACTATTGGTTATTGTCCAAATTTCTATGGCATACAGCAGAATGATCATGATAAGAGACTTGTAAGGTGTAATTTTCGTTTGTGACAAGAAGGCATTCTTCTTCAATTGCCTACTTAGTCTCGAGTGATTCTTCGTTGAATCTGTAGACTAACGTAATTTTTGTTGCTTATGCTGCTGTTGATATGAGCAGTCTTTCAAAACTTCGCACAAAAGTGATTTTTCATCGAATCTTTAGACTAACATAATTTTTTGATGCTTACTCTGATTTCTTCATAAATAAAATCCCCAAGACCCTTAGAAGATTCTGTATTAGTTCGAAAAAGATATTTAGTCTTATATTTAGTGACTCCCAAATCTGATTAAGCTTGTACGGGGTTAATATCATGAGTTAACTCAGGATCTCGTTAGCTCTTAAATCTAGACTTTAACTTAATCTTCATTTCTTTGAGGATCATCTCTATAAACTAAATTATAGAATAAAGAATAAAAATGTACATACATTGTGTGGGAAATTATAATGAAAATATTGTTTTTAATCTTTCTGTACGTATTTCGAAAGTGAAAGGTTTTTCCTGATATAAATAATAAACAAATGATAAACAAATTCATTATACTTTTTCATAAATTTTACACAGGGTCACGCAATGTTTACTGTGACATCGACGGATTAGGAAAAGCGCAAATGTTCTACTTGATTGTGGACAACATACTCACAAATCACATTTGCTGGTGACATTTGCTCATTTTGTTTTCATTTAAACTACATTATCACCTAACCAAGTTAATCATACTAAACTGTAGAGTAAGGTCAAGAATCCGGAAACAGAATTTAATAAGACATCACAACAGAAAAGACAACAAAAGTGTGACATATCGCTTGTGCGATATGTTTTGCGACATTATCTTTAAAGAGTCATGGACGTTCCTATAACCTACTACAATAAAATTCGTCATCAATAGAAACATTTGCATATTTCCATAAAAGTCACAGTGAGAATTTTTCTTAAGTAGAATAATAGAAGAAGCGAAAAGATTAAATTGCTGGCACAAGTGGCGTTTTTGCTGTCGGAAGACTTGTTTCTTCTAAGATTTCATTTAGATCTGGCATAATAGTTCCATAATTGTATTGAGTGGGCACAATTGTATTAATAAAAAATTTGGAGATCTGTAAAAAATAACAAGAAACGATAAACCATAAACGGTCTTGAACTTTTAGTTCAAGAACGCATTTAATAAATCTATTTGAATTTACATAAATTTAGAATATTTTACTACTTAAGCAGTATGGGTCACTGGAACATGAAGGCTAGATGTGAATAACCTAAATTTAGAATACACATTCATGTTGACTGGTTTCACTTTCAATTTTAGATAAAACTGTGGATTTTTTAAATTTTAGTTAGTTAATAGTTGTAAAAGTAAATGACTTAAATAGAATAAATAATAAATATCGATTATGGCATTGCAGTTCATGTACAATTACCGGAGATTCATGGCATCAAAGCCTAAGATACTTAGGCTTTATAAAAAACTAAATTCGCTATAATACTTAGACTTTATAAAAGACTTAGTATCTTCTCAGTATATTAGTGTAGAAGAGATTTTCTTAATATTTGATCATGTCCATGTACTGGAAAATAAAAAGCAGATATCAATCACTTCCTCAACATTTTAAAGGTTGCAAAAAGAATCATTGAACGGAATTCAACCTCCAAAGACTAGTAAGAATAATTATTAAATAAATATAGAGTCTAAACCAGAATTTCTCAACGTTTGGTTAGCGTCATTAGCGCCACCGGTCCTAAATATTGTTTTTTCGATTTTAATATATTTTTTTTTGAAAAATATAGGTATTGGTTCATGCAAATCATTTTAAACATTTACTGATATTTGATGATTTCAGGAATAATGAAACAAAAGTAAACTGATGGGATATCCTTAACTTCAAAGATAACACAGCGTAGCATCTCGCCTCTCCCGACATAATCTTTAAGAGCATCGCAAAGGGCAATATGTGCCTCTAATTAAAAATTCAACGGGCAATGTGAGATAATTTAATCAAAGTATCCAACATGGCTCCTTTGTTGCTCTTGTTGTATTAATTGGTTTTTCAAATAAAATATAGGACATCCGCTAAGTTTACTGTCGTTATCTCAGCCAGGTCAGTAGAAACAGATCTCCTAGATATTAGAGCTGCTTCATCTGTAGTCCGTCTAGGTGTAATATCACAGCATTCCATTAGTACATTCAAACTGCAGATTAGTTAAAGTCTAAAAAGTCGTTAGTTCTTCATCTATCTAATCTGGGCTTAAGAGTCCTGCGGTACTTGTAATACACTGATCTGTTCTTTTTAATAATTATTTTCAATATTAATTTTTTTATTTCTGTAAACTTCTTATGCGAACATAAATAATTAAAATTTGTCATTTTTATTTACAGGTTTATATTGCTGAGACAACTGAACCGAATCTACGCGGGTTACTAATAGGTGCACCATTTGTAGCCTATTCGCTTGGCATATGTGTTGTCTATACTTTGGGTTCATCTTTTAATTGGCGTACAGTGGCTTGGTGCGGAAACATCTTACCTATTCTAGCATCGTTAGCCATTTTTTGTATACCGGAAACTCCAAATTGGCTTTTGCGTCACAAAAAAGTGGAGAGTGCACTTAGATCACTATCATTCCTGAGGGGAAATGAGATTGTAGCTCAAAAAGAGCTCAATGATATGGTGAAACGTCTGGACCAGGAACTTGCCACAACAAAAACTAATGAGAATATCTTTGAGCTGTGCTGTCAACGCGTAGCAATCAAGCCTCTAATAATTGTCATTACATTATCTCTCTTACAAATGTTTTCCGGTACTTTTATTGTTGTTTTCTATGCAATTGACATCATATCGGAGTTTGGTGGTAATTTCGATACAAAATTTGCAGCGATATGGACGGGTATAGTACGTATGGTCTGCACTATTATATTCTGCGTAATTTTATTGTTTGTGCGCCGACGTCGTATACTTGTGCTAGCAGGTATTGGCTCGGGTCTGAGTTGCATTGTGCTTAGCATTTATTTGTATACACGTAATTTTTCCAGTGAACCGAAGAGTCATGCTGATGTTATGATGGCCGCAATATGCCTTCTTTTATATATAGCATTTAATACGCCAATTATGGTTATGCCCGGCATTATGGTTGGAGAGCTGTTTCCTGCAAGAATACGTGGGCGAACTGCTGGCACAGTTTTTGCTGCTATGAATGTAGCATTATTCGGTTTTACTAAAGCTTTTCCATATATACAAATTGCAATTAAAATGCGTGGTGTATTTATGATATTCGCCATTTCCAGTTTTTTAGTGTCCATAGTTATGTTCATGTTCCAGCCAGAAACAAAGGGACGAACATTAGAACAAGTTGAAGACTACTTCAGGGAAGACAATTGGTTGTGGCATAAACGTGATAAGAGCTATAAACAAGTTCCGAATAGTAAGACCTCAACTGAAGCCTGAAGTGGTGAATCAAAGACATATAGTAATGTTCCATACAAATAATGTGGAAATTTGTTTCTGCACGAGTAATGACTTACACAGAATCCGATGTCCTAATGGAATGAAATTTATATAAAAAATAACACAGTTTTGATTGTTTTTAATGTATTATTTTAAAAAGCAACTAGTGATCCAGAGAGCAACAGATTTAAAGTAACACATTGAATTGATCTTCAAGATTGTAGTAAACTTTGATTCAGCGAGAGTGGAAAGAGTACTCGTTTAACGAGTACTAGAAAAGCAGTTTGAAGTCCACACATATAAATAACCACCAATTTATATATAAAAGCCTTATTGTTGGTTTTTTAATCAATATTGAAATCTATATCAACTCTTACTTATTTTCATTCTTTCAACTTAAGGATTATACTTTTGTTAATCAAATCTTAATAATGTGATTTTTTTTAAATATTATCTATTTTAAGTATATAATAGTGTAAATAAATTTCATATATATGTAACTTAGTTTTTCATATTTTTAAGTTCTTGTATCTAAGAATAAAGAACATCCACAGTGATCCCCTTAAAATGTAAGGGAATAAGAAAACGAAAGCTAAAGCAAGATTCACATTATCAAAACTTGTCTTGCTAGATTGACAAAGTTTTTACTTCATATATTCGTTTTATATTTTTAAGTTTGTAGTTTATTTAATAATTTAGTTATATACAATAATATACTAATATATATATATATATATATAATATATATATATTTAGCCATACTAAATATTAGTTTTTAAATTTATTTATCATCATTATCACTTAGCGATACAGTGTAGGAGGGTTTCTGTGGGCTGCCTCTGTGAATTATATACCTATATATACGATACGAGCTTACTGCATATTAATGGCTCCTTAAGCTAAACAACCTCAAGATTCTCTTTAATAAAGTATTAATCATTTTAATATCAGGTACTTGATTTAAAAATTATTTTCACAAAGTATTTATCATAATGTTGTATATAATATTGTAATAATTATAAGTTTTATTAACATTTCGAAGTATTTAAATTGTAAAAAATAATAATAATTGTAACTGTTATTATTGTAATTTTGTGATTATATATATATAAGGGTAAAGAAAATTATGTAAAAACTTTTTTAAAAAATATTGTAAATATATTATGTACAAGAAAAACTGTTAAGAACCTCTTTTAATACAAAAAAAATTTGTCATCAATATGTTTTTAGCTCTATATACACATATGTGTATATAATCTATAATGAATTCTTTTTAATGTATAATACAATATTAGTTTATTAAATACATATTTAATATATAAAATATTAAATATATATTAAATAGCTGTATTATATATAGGATAAATTGATGTATGTGTAAAAGACACATGGAAAAGACAATCAATCTTGAACTTTATGTGCGTAGAGCCAATTTTTGGGGGACTTCTTTATATAAAATATTTTTATTTACAACATAGGACTCACAAGTGAAAAGCCTTATTTTCTATCGACTTCTTAAAATTTGACTGTCTTATTATTAATAGCAGTGGCAATGTTTTGCGATTTAATCTGCTATATTCAGAGAATGTCTTTTAAGCTTAGATGAATTAATGCTAATAAAAAACCTTAAAGTAACCCTTGGTACAAGTCTCCAAATTTACTCAATTAAAAGAAAGTCAGATAGTACTCTGATAGTATTCAATCCATCTCCTAACAATCGCAGTATACGAACAGGTGGGTTGGATTGATATTTCCGTAAATTTCCACTGATCTTGTCTTTGAACGATAGTACTTAATAATGTGCTCAGTTAAGAAGCTATTAATTAATCTGAGCTCATACCTGTATAGATTGAGAAACCTGCAATTATATTTGTTGTTAGCCCAAATGAGTTGTTAAATACTGTTATGTCTTTGTTTTCGAAACTTTATTTCGTAAACAATTCATTTTAGAAGTTTCTAAGTACTGATGCAGTTTGACAAATAAATATTTCACTGAAAGATTCCGTTTCCGTCGAGAGTTAAAACATAAGGTGTAAGCTTTGCTTAACACAGATATAAGATATTCCGACCTATTTCGACATAATGATCTAATATTTAAGAAATTTTAAAGATGCCTGACTATCTAAAGCATTAAACTATAATATAACCAATTTTCAATGTAACATTACAACTCCGTTTTAGTCAGTCTGTGATTCGCATACTAAATAGAGTGTGTCTGGATATAGAGGTGGAAACGTGGATATTTACTTATTTTATTATAAAGAGGTTTTCGAAAAGAAATGAAACAAAAACAAAAATTTATTTTTTAAATTATTTTAATTAATTGAATTTTTGGCTGACCATACAGCTGTTTCGAGTATTGCCAAATACCCTTCATCAGTGGTCTTGGAAATAAATCTTATATTTAATTATTCGTAAATAATTATTTTTGAGACTGCAAGTACCAGGAATCGAACTCGGGTCCTGCCAAATATGAAGCTCAGAATCAGCGCACCTTAACCAACTGATCCAAAGCCGTACTTGACTTTTTTTTTTTTTTTTTTTTTTTTTTATTATATATTTTATCTCTTTTTTGAAAACATCCTTTATTTGATGTGAATAGTACAATCTTAAGTATTTGTTCATTTCTTACTATTATACTATTATTAAAGTGTATTTAATAGATATTATAGATATTAAGTGAGATATGTGTAGATTTACTGAACCAATGTTCAGCTCCCAAATCTTGCAAAAATGATTTATATTTATAATGAATATATTCGAAGGAAAATTAGGCTTAGACTTTAATCATTATTGCCATTGCTGTAAATTACATGTTTTCTCTCTAAAAACATTTTTAAAAACTTCGTTAGATAAACAGATCATTTTCATCGGTAAAACAATAAAAATTTCAATATCTCTTTATTACTGTCCTAACCTTAGTTGATGATCTATTTTTAAAAAATTTATTATCGCAATTATAAAAAATAATGGTAATTTGATCTGTACATCACTGATTTTAAATACATTTTGTATCAAATTTTTTGAAATAACAAAATTGTTCTTTCTTATTTCATTCAAAATTTTTCCATCCAACTTGTGTTTCATTGTTTCGTCGTCAAAATTTGCTTCGTATTTAAATTTTAGTTATTCCAAAATGAGTTCTGAGAAACAACAACACGTTCAATCTAAAAAGGTGAAGAGTACTTCCTCTAAAATTGCGGCTTCTAAAAAGAAGGCTTCTCCTAGAAGTATAGTCGATAAATACTTAGATAAGAGGAAAGTACCGAAGTGGTTTCGTGGGTATTCAACCTTTCAGATAAAGGCTGCAGAGGAACTCCAGCATGCAATACGCGATGACATTGAACAGAATACGACATTACGTGTTCGTCAATGCTTGCAAGCTTTGGGAATTGAGCCTATTGGATCTACAAAGGATTTAAAATTTTTGATGAAATTAAGTGGTGGAAATGATTTGGCGTTCTTGTGGTTTCTTATGGAAATGCATTATAAAACGCATGGGGAGCGATATTCGCTAAATGAACAACTAATTATGTCTACGATTGCGCACTTGGATATGGTATTTACATTACGTGGGTTGGATAAGATTTTACCACCCGGTCATTTGAATAAAGCGGATCTTAAAAAACAAGAAATGCTTAAACGTAAAAAAGAAGAAGCGAGGTTGAGAAGAGAGAATAGAGAAGAGGTTATAAAGCACGAAATACCATATTTTAATGAATTGGTACGACCAAAACTTTATGGTAAGTCCTTAATTGCACATCACCCAAGTTATCAGGTTCAATTCCGTTTATACAATGTTTACACGGACCCCAATTATGTATGTCCAAATGGCGATAATCGGTGGTTCTCATTTTATGACTGTTCAGTTGGAAGACGTGTTTCACATCAAGTAGTAAACGAAATTATAGATGAAATGTTTGCAGACTTGGATTTAGCAAGAGCTAAGGCCGATAAAATCAGAGTAGTCTGTCAATATCATAAAAGACAAGAATATAAAGAATTTATAAAAAAGGGTAAATTGAGACTTGCACGAAGATTTAAAATTTTAGATATGGCAGATATCGATCGCTACCAAAAAGAGGTAAATAATGAATTTTAAAATTTGTTTATAATTAATATATTGATTCAGCGAATTTCATATGAAATATAAATCGTGTTCCGGTACGATTTATAGAAACTAATTTAGTTTTTCACAATGATCTAGAACTCGTCTTGCATTTTTGGTATTATTGTATCAGTAGTTAGTTCTCGCTTTTAAAGCTCATAATTATTATATATCAAATAAAGCACTGACGCGATTAGTAGAGGTAATTAATTGTCGGAACTGTGACCAAGCTGGTCTAACACTCCTTATTCTGGAGCTTGTTTCTTAGTTTAATTTGAAATATATCGTTTTCTTTTAGATGAAAATGAAGTCTTTTCAACGGCTTTAGGTTATTTTGAGGTTTGTTATTAAGCCTTTTGAAACTTTAATTTTTCAACATATAGTGATATCTAGATATCAGACATCTATCACAAAAACGGATTGCTGATTAACCTTAACCGTTGAAAAAAAGTATTTAGTGTCGCACAATGTAATCATGAAAGTCTATATATCACAGAAAAATTTACTTTTTGCAGAAGCGTAGAGAAAGAATTTTGAAAGAAATTGATGAAGAAGTTGGTCGTTGCATATGTAAAAACAAAGAGAAGCCCCCATTCGGACTGAAGTGTCAAGCTAAAAGAACCGTGTCCACATGTGATTTTGATTTTATTGTAGAAAACGTGGAAGACATTAGTACTTCTGCCTGCACTTGCGAGGAGGTAATCGAAGAAGCTTCAGATACAGATACTGAGAGTGATTCTTCTGATTCTGAGTCGTCTTCAGACAGTGATATTCGTAAAAAAGGAAAACGCAAAGCCGGTGGAGGCGAGCTTTCCATTAACCAGCAAAAACAACAAACAGATGTTTTATGTGGACATGAAGCCACTTCACCAGTATTAAGTAACGGTGGTGATTTTTCTGTTGAATGCTATCAACATTATGAAGAAAATCTCCAATCAGAAGATTTCTCAGCACGACTAAGTGGCGGGGGTGGTCCTGCAGGTGATTACCGTAATTACGATAAAACAAATAAAAAATCCCGAAGTGATGACATGCGGTTACATGGTGGAGGCAGCGGTACAGAGAAGTGCAAAGGAAGTGCGAGGGATAAGAAATCAATTTGCGGCTGTTGTCAATCAAATAGTGATGCAATGAGTGGTGGAGGTAGAAGTCAATTGGATGATAATACGACTGCATTTTTCGATCGGTATTTTCAAAAACGATTAAGCAGCTGCCTAGAAGCTCAGGGTATAAAGGTAACAGGAAGATATTCACAAAAAAATATCGCTTTGTCTGAAAAGAGACATTTGAAAAGAAAAAAATTATCTAGTGTAGAAACTGGTACTGGTGAAAATACTGTTGAAGATGAATTTTGGGATGAGGATATTGAAGATGAGCCATCCTATCATGATATCTGCTCATCAGGGCAAATAAGCTTTGACTCTCCCTCAGAATTAGCATTTTATGAGAGATTTAAGAAACCAGTAGAGGTATACGATCCAGGTGCTATAGATGAATATTTTGACTGTAAGGAAAAGGAACTTTACGATTTATTAAGCTTTAAACATGAAATGCCAACACAGAAAAAGGACAAGTATTGTATAAAAAAAGAATGGAAACCATGTAAGAATCTTGATGATATACATCCAAGCTGTGAACCAAAATTTTCTTCAAAGAGAGCAGTGAAAAAAACGTTGCCTCCATCATCAGAAGTAACAGATTTATCCAGTTCGAGCAAGGCATCATGTATGCGGGCAGGATTAAAACATAGCTTGGACTTTGTACATCTTTTAGATGGTCCAGTAAAACTTAAAAGTCCTTTTCATTCGTCTCAAAAATCGGTATCAACCGATAATTATGTAAGAAATAAACATCCCGTACCGTGTTCTATGCAATGTGGCGAAAAACATACCAATAAGTATTTTACCGCACCAAGACCTCATTGGCCACACAATTTTAATTATTTTGAAATTTTCAAACTGGACAAATTATCCCTTGAAGAAAAGGAAAAAGCTAAAAGAAAAGGAGATGACATTTACGAACAAAAAAGTGAACCGGATATAAGGAAAATGATAGTCGATGATCTTCGCAGAAAACAAAAGAAACTTTATAATTTAGATTACATATTTCAATGTAAAAGCGACGAAGAATGCGTTAGCGCCAAGGACCTTGAAGGCAGTGAACTCCAGTACCCACTAAATTTGGGTGAAATTGCGCACAAGTGCGCAGATAGAATCTGGCAAAATCAGGTTGACCAATATTCCGAATCACAGGAATTTGTATATTCTGATTATGATTCTCCATTAGCTAAAAAATATCCCAAAAAATTTTATGATTGCAGTGATAAGAAACTAATGATACAGATGTTAAAGGATGCATTCGAGTACTTGTCTCAAGATCATCGATATGTTCTAGCTGGAATGCCAGATTCGCATAACTTTCCGTTTCTATTGGAATGGATACAAAGACGTTATGGTAAAGTATATTTCCCAGAGGACCGCAGGAACTCATATCGTAATACACTACAACTATTCAATGCTCTGGACAAAGCTCCAATTACCGTCATTTTGCCGAGTGTAAAAGATATTGGAACGCAATCGTTTGTATCCTATGATTGTCGAGACTATTTGTTGAGAAAGGTAATTATACACTCTGATCTGGGTTTCGTATGTATTAATATAATTTATGTGAGGTAATTATAATACAATACAATACAATATAGTAGTACACAACATATTTCAAAAGTATATAATATAAGACAATGTAATACAATACAAAACAATATATTGCAATACAATGTATTACATTACTATATACGATTATATATACAATTAATTCTTTGTAAAATTTAGACCAAACAAATCAAGCAGAAATTCTACGATCATTTGGATTCAGTTATCATGGAACATGCCCGCATATTCTGGTATGCCATTCGCCCATTTTTGTGCCCAAATGGACCCCCAAGGAATACATACTTTGCTTATATGCCATCAAAATTGAAAGATATTACACGTCTAAGACCATGGAGATCATCTGAATATAATGATTGTAAGGCTGCTAGGGAAAGATATCGACTTAGGAACGATATATAGGACTTAGGAATAATTATTTGGTTTATAAAATTTTTGATAATTACAAAATAGTTACAAAATTAAATGTAAAAAAAAATTATCCTGGACTTACCAGTTTTAATAAAGTGAAATCAATTTAATGTAACATTTTGCATTATTTTATTTGTTATTGTTATTTAGTAGCGCTTCAATTAGGAAATTTTCATAATTTATTCGTTAATCGCATGCCAATAAATAAATTTCCAATACAAATACTTGAATACCCAAGATAATTAAAACAAAACAATTAAATAGTAGTGACCTTAGTTTCAGATCAGGTGCCACGGTAGTCAGTGCGCAAAGCTTTGGGTGATCTGACCCATAGAGATAGGCCACTTAAAGGGAAGTATAGTGGTGGTTGTGGTTAAAACTCAAAGTTATCAGGGTCGAATGAATATATTATGCACTTACTTTCATGTAACGCGAAACCGTTGCATTTTCCAACCGAAACAGCAGCGGTGTTGAAGAAGTCTGCCTTTTTCGCAACTTGGAAAATATATCCAAACGTGTAACTTAAATAGGTGCTTGCGGAATTTCAATGGGAGCATTTGTCAGCGCTTTATACTGATGCATATTGTAAATGCACCGTGGTGTTAAGTCTTAACTTAAGTCCATAGTTTAAAAACTATGGATTCTGTACCTATACCAAACCTTTTTCTTATGATAGATATACATAAAGTAAAATAGCTACAAGTAATACTTGAATTCAGAATCAGTGTTTGAATAATTAAAATTAAACAATTTAAATATTAATAAAACTAATCGGAGAATATTATGGTGAATCCATTTGAGAAGCACATTTCAAAGATAAACAAAGAACCATCAAATATAAAACTGAATGCAGTTTTTAGTATTGAATTTAAATTTATGCTACATATATATTATTTTAATTATAATATTTAGTTAAGCCAAAATAAAACTATACATGTTTATATAAAATTTATGTAATATATCCATTTGTGTTTTGAATAATTCTTCATTTGCTAATTGAACTAATGCTCAATGTAAACTCTTCATATTAATTATCATTTATTGAGTTCCGCTTATTGTGAAATTAATAGTAATAGCCTACTGATATAGCACACAAAGGCCGTGTGCGAGTTCGAGTTAATTGAGGTAAAGTAAATTAAAATTTCCTAGGGACTTTTTGCACTGCACTTATTATATGTAAATATTTAATTATTTTTATTGCACTTATTTATTATTTTTAGTTATTATGTTTCAAATTTATTTATTTATTAAACATCTTATAAAATTTTGACGATGGTGACGATGGTATTTCCCTGAATTACCCATCAATTTACTAATAGTTGCAGACGACCGTGTGCGAGTTCGAGTAAATTGAGGTAAATTAAATTAAAATTTCCTAGGGACTTTTTGCACTGCACTTATGTAAATATTTATTTATTTTTTTACTCGAACTCGCACACGGTCTAAAAAAAATCTTTGCATTTATTAATTAAATATATAGTTAATAGATATAAAAAATACATATATATAAATAACTTAATATATCAATTGTATGTTTAATTTTCTTGTGTGATATATTATTAAGTGAGCTTTATAAAAGTTTATAAAAGTTCTATCAACTGCGTGAATGAGCTCATTATAATGTAAACGTTCACTCATAAATATATATAAGCAAGTACCTAAATGAGACAGTGTGAATGATTATTTAGAATCAACTTTTTATTACTACATCTATAATTATACAACGCATAAGAAATTTGTTATTTGACTTATATCGGATTAGCGAATACAACTATTGTATAGTAAAAGTAATTTAGTTCCAATTCCAAAAATTTACTACAGGGTCTCTGAAAGATATCACAAGTCTGGCATCATTGCCACTTGTTATTAAACAGCTGAGTTAAATTTGTGGTTTTAATGTAGTAAATAAATTGAGTTCAAAAAAGATAAAAGATACAGATTTGTTTATGAAGACATGAATCGTGGAAAAATCGCTTTCGGTAAAATAAACTTAAATCTGAGCACAATTGGTGTAGATGAAGTCCAACAACCCCAAAATGCTGATGCTAGTGGCTCCACAGGGTTTAAGAAAATAGACAATGCTAAGCTAATGCAGCGCTTGGATGAAGTTTCAGATGATCTAGAAAGCCAACACATAAAAGATATAATGGGCATAAGTGGTTTTGGTAAAAAATCAGCAAAATCATTTGATATTAATGTAAGTATACGCAGAATTTTAATAAGGAGCACAGCAAATTTAAAAATGTTTTATAAATTCAGGAACAAATCGCAAAAGCACGTAAAATAGCGCAAGTCAAAAGTGTTGAACAAGAAATACAACACGAAGAAGATAGTGAATCTGACAACGAAATAATAGGACCTATGCCTACGGCTTTCAAGGAACAAAAAGATGCACCCAAATTTGCAACCGAAAATGATGAAGACAGTGACGAAAATGAAGGTGAAGATGATGAGGAGGATGATGAGAAAATGTTAGAACGTAGAATTCCAAATACACATGAAGTACAAATGCAACATGGGTCGCGTGCGGTGTTAGCACTGGCTGGTGATCCATCCGGGGCACGCATGGTCTCTGGTTCAATAGACTACGATATGTGCTTTTGGGACTTCGCTGGAATGGATGCCTCAATGCATAGTTTTCGTAACTTGCAACCTTGTGAAAATTATCCAATTCGTGGACTTAACTACTCTGTTACTGGCGATATGATACTAGTTGTTTCTGGTAACTCACAAGCAAAAGTTTTAGATCGTGATGGTTTCGAAAAAATGGAATGTGTTAAAGGTGATCAATACATAAGCGATATGGCGCGTACAAAAGGCCATACCGCACAGTTAACATCCGGCTGCTGGCATCCATTCACAAAAGAGGAATTTCTTACAGCAGCATTAGATGGTACATTACGTATTTGGCAAGGGTTAAGAGTGAAGGAACAAAAGTCTGTAATTAAAACTAGGGCCGTAGGTGGTTTGCGTACAACACCGTCTGCATGTGCTTACAATAAAGATGCCACACTTATTGCAGCTGGATGTACAGATGGGTCCATACAAGCGTGGGACACAAGAAAAATGTTCGTTAATACAACACTTTGCTTAAGAAAGGCGCATCAGAAAGATGTTGAAATAACATCAATCGTATTTTCTTATTTAGGTAAGAACGGTATTGTTGGTATGTTAATTAAATATAAAACAATTTTTTTTTCTTCAGGCAACCAAATCGCTACACGTTCCAATGATGAGACTATGAAGCTTTGGGATTTGAGAGCATTGAAAGAACCTTTGCACACTTGGTCGAATCTTTATTCACGTTACGACACAACTGATTGTTGCTTTAGTCCTGACGATCGGATACTTGTAACTGGAGAATCCTTACCAAAAGGTCCACAAGTAGCCAATCTCTACTTTTATAGCACAAAAACATTCGAGGAAGTGAAACGCATACCCGTTGCAAATTCACATATTATTAAGACGCTGTGGCATCCAAAGTTGAATCAACTTTTTGTTAGTTGTGGAAATGGCTTAGTGAAATGTTACTATGATGAAAAACGCAGCATTCGTGGTGCCAAGTTATGTGTTGTCAAAACACATCGTAAGAAAAAATATACAGAAATGGGTGGAGTGTCTCAAATTATCACTCCTCATGCATTGCCCATGTTTAGACAAGAGAAATCGAAATCATCGCGTACAAAATTGGAAAAGGAACGGTTGGATCCAGTTAAGTCTCGACGACCAGATTTACCTATTACGAGCGGACAAGGGGGTCGAGTTGCAAGTTCTGGTGGTACATTGTCATCTTATGTCATACGGAATTTAGGTTTAAGTAAACGCGTTGATGATGACCAGGATCCACGCGAAGCAATATTGAAGTACGCTAAAGAGGCTGAAGAGAACCCCTATTGGATTGCCCCAGCATATAAAAAAACACAACCAACACCGATTTTCTCTGAATCTAATAACAGTGGAGAACCACAATCAAAAAAATCTAAGGATGAATAAAGTAAAACATTATAAAATTGGATTTTCAGTGATTTGTTTTTATAATCAGTATTTTTAATTCTAGAAAATACATTTTCGTTACTTTTAAAACGAAATTGTGAGATAATCACAGAAAAGGCTAGAGTTAATAAGCATATTTTGATAATTGGTTATATGATGGCATGTGTATGAAATGATAATTATATGTATAAGCTTATATTTAATCTTAAAAAAGCTACTTAGCAGTGTAATTTCATATTAAAGTTCGTTAATAATAATAAAATAATCGAAGAGCTAGAAATGTGGCCATAAGAAATACTTGCATATATTACTCTGCCCTAAATTAAACCGAATTAATTATTATCCAAAACAAAATATTCTACTTTCTTTTACGTTCATTTTTACCCACATCATGAAAATAAAATATATGGTTTTCCCATATTGTTTGGAGGTTTAATGAAGTCTGTTCTTATAATTTTTATACTCATTTCATATCTCATACCGACATCTGACATATTTTCAAGGCACTTTCCAGCACTTCTCGTACCATAATAAAAATGTAATATGTATATGAGTTGTTAATATATTTTAAATACTCAAAACAATAAAATTTTATTATTAAAACGATTAATACTTTACATCCTATCAAACGTGAAAATGTGAATTCTCGTTTTGAAATTGATATTAAATGTATCTATATAAATTTATATAAATATATACCAACATCAATAAAATAATTGTCTGCTATTGTGTCGTTTTTTTAACACATCCGAAAGTAGCAATATCTCTGGTGTTTACAGACTCGTTTAAGGAGAACTTTTGAAAACTAATACAAAGCTCAAATGGAATTTTAGCATGATTGAATAAAATTCATTACCCAAAATATTTGAGAGCAGTTTGAACCCTACTTGCATATGCGACTAGTTGATAGAGTCAATTACCTTTACTTTGCCTGTCTTAAGCATTTTCAAATAATAAATTAATAGTTTAAAAAACCATAGATAGTTGTACCTATGGAATTAATAGTTGCTCTCATGGAATTAATTCTTGTGTGATCGCTATTTATTATAGTTTAATATATAAGTTTACTGCTCCTATACAATAGCTGTGAAACTAAAAACGAGTTTCCTTCTTTGTTATTGATTATTGTAATTAGTATAACTTTGAGAAATTAAAAAAATAAAAAAAAACGTACGAGATTGTTCACATTCTTGCCCTAATAATATAAAACGTGAATCTTTCTGTTCGAAGGCCATTCAACCAAAAATTCTTCCTTATATTTAATGACTAAGTAATACTACTCTGTAATTATAATAGGTCTATTCCACAAGCTACTCGTAGTCACTTTCAGTAGCACTCTGTATACACAAGTACGTTCCACCAGCAAATTTTCGTGTAAATAAGAGCATCTGAGAGAGCGTAACATCCCTGTCGAAACACAGACTTTACTCGTACATTTTATTTCAATGTTTTAATATTGATGTGTGAATCAGTTTGGTTTGAATTTAAATTTTTGTATTGTTTATTTGCGCAGCACTGGTGTTCTCACCAGACTTTACACAAAGCTGTTCCATAAACATTTGTGTAAAGAGCGTAATTTGGCACTTTACTTGTGTTACGCTCTCAGTTTATACTTTACTTGGGTGTACTACGAGTAGCTCGTGAAACAGATCTAATATGTGCAAGCTTGTAATGTTGCATTAAATTGTTTTAAAATTTTGCTTAAAATTCCATATGTAATAAAATACAAAAAATTAATAACTCAGTTTGGATGACATGAAAAATGACTTTTTTAGTGTTATTGTTTAATTGTTCATTGTATGTTATTTTATTTTATTTATCCGTTTACACTATTATATTCGTATTTATCTCTATAAGTGTGCAACAATTAGTTACTTTTTTCATACACAATCCATATAAAAATATGCAAAATAATAACAACTGAGATTTTCATATAAACTCAATTGAGATTTAAGATAAATATGAGTTAAATGTTAAAGGTTTGTGCAATGCAAGAAATATTTATTTTTTGTTTTGAAATAGAATACAATTCTTTTTATAATTAATTTAATTTATTACATACGATTAAAACTTCAGCTTAAGCAAAGAAACGAACCACTAAAAGTGCCTCATCTAATATACCGCACCATGTTTGGCTGTTGCTATTGTGAATGAATACTTTTAATATGACATCTATGCGTAAACAAAACGATTTCATTAAGTTGTTTAAATTGGTTCTGTAAATTTTAATTGTTTTATAATGGATAACGTAATTATTGATTTCTTTTACTATATAAAACCATTTGTTAACTTAAGTTTTTTTAAAAGGAATTGCGAGCGAAAATTGATATGTGTTCCCAAACTGCGGAAACGTTTACTAGTTTGTATTATAATGCTGTGGATAAGCGTCGCCATGTGAGTTAGATCAATTATTAATATAAATATGAATAAAATAACTATAAATTCGGCACTTGCATTTTGATCTATAATATACTCGTAAACATGTAGCAATATAAGTATTTAGTACACAGTCCATTTGCACATTTAATCGTATTTTATTTATTTTTTTTTCTTACTACCGCAGCAAGTAAGTCGTTTATATTTAGACAACGCGACGTACATATGGAATGGAAACCCATTTATTGGGAAGGACAAAATTCAGAGTTTCTTTTTAGAATTACCAGCGTCAGAACACAACATTACAACGCTTGATGCACAACCAATTATAGATGAAAGTATGACAGGAACGACAACCGTAATCATCAAAGCAGCTGGTACAATTAAATATCAAGATCAACCAACGAAGGCTTTCTGTCAAACTTTCGTCGTCACAGCTGTAGAAAATAAGTGGAAAATAGCTTCAGATATTTTTCGCCTGCAAGAAGTGGCTTCAGATAGTTAGAATTAGAACATTTATTTAACACTTTGTATGATTAAAATTTGTATAGAACAATAATGTAAACATAAAAACAATAAAATACATATATTTCCTGAATAGTGTCTTATAGTTGAATTTTCTCAGATTGCGACTGAGTTGAAGTTAGTGGAATATTTGATTCGAAGTCATTCTGAGTTGGTAATATATCTTGAGATAATGGTTCACTTTCACAAAAATTTTCCATACCTTCGGTATTAATTGTAAAGGATTCTGTGTGAACAGCCAATAACTCTTCTAATATGTTCGAAGCCTTACGTAATTTTGCCGGACCTTCAACCGTCTTTTGCACACTATCTTCGACAGGAGGTTCTTCATGCGACACATTTGCTTCGATTGATATGTCTTCCGCGTGTCCAGCATTATTTTCAGTTGGAGTAGATTCAATATCGGTAGCTGATACGCTAGTTGTTAATGACTTTCTTTCCATGTAGTCAAAATAATCCAAATGCAATATATTGCGCTTTTTTCTTAGTCGCCATTCCGACTTCAGTTTTGGGAGTATATCACTCTGTACATAAACGCATTCGTCTTTGTAGCGATTTACTCCCTTCGCTACTAATTTCAAGATAGCTTTCTCAGATTTATTTTTTAATCGCCCCTGCTGCAGCAAACTTTCGTAGCAATCATTTACCGCATTCCAGCGTGTCATATTTACACGACAGGGCACGCGGCGGCAAAGTTTTATTAGCTCTTTTTGGGAAAATTCCCGTTGCAAGTCCTCTTCTGTTGGTTGCTATAAAATAGAAATTTATTCGTGATTTTTGAAAGTTATAAACCGCAATTTTCCGCTTACCCATATTTCAATTAATTGTTTATATATTTCACTTTTATTTGATTCCGCCATGTAGTTCAAATTATATTGGAATGTTTATACAGAAAAAATACAAAATGTTAATATACAGAAAAAATACAAAATGTTATACAGAAAAAATACAAAATACAGAAAAAATACAAAATGTTAACAGAAAAAATACGAAATGTTAATATACAAAAAAAACAAAATTATTATTGAAGTATTTGTAAAACTTTAAATGGCGCTATTTTTATGACATTTGAAGACTATTGTGAACGGGTTTAAAAAGACGATTTCAGTGCAACGATTTATATATCCTGAGATGCTACTGTGAATTAAAACCGCTGAGTCAGCATACACGAAAAATTATTTGTGCCAAGAAGAGATAACGGAGAAGAAGAGATGATGTATAAAATGTAACAAAAATATTTTAGGTCAATGCCGAGAATAAATTTTAACTATTTATACATGATAATAATCATAAATATAGATTCGTTATTTAAATAACAAAATTTAAATAATGTGTATGAATGAAAGATATAATTATTTTATTATTTTGTAGCCAACTATGTTATAATTTTATTATATATTGGTTTATATGTAAATTTATTTCACAGGTTAAAAAGAAGTGACCACTTGTCCGAATATAGAAGCACTGTAAATAGAAGAGCATGTTCAAATGTAAGATTTTTGTTATTTGCTATGTAAATTAAAAAAAATTGAGAATAAAATAAGAAGAGAAATGAGAAAAAGGGACATGAGAAAGGGACATTTTTTTGAATAAATGTCAGTGACAGTTGACCTTTATAATACCGAGAAAATATTTTGAAAGAAAATATTTTTTAAATTTGAATATAGGTGAAAAAAACTATAACTGTTATTAGTATGTAATTTTTAACAATCGATTTGTAAAAAAAAACAATTAATTTCATTAATTTGTGGCAGTATGGGCACTTTCGAAATTAACTTAACTTCAGTTTTCGAAATTAAGAAAATTTGGCTGTCTGAACATAGTATTACACTTAATTTTCATTAACTTTACAAAGAGCTACCGTAGTTTTTAACTTATTTAAAAATAAAGTAAAAAAAATTAGACCGAAAAAGTCGAAAGCAACTCTTAAAAATAAATTTCCCACAAGAGAAATTACAAATATTTTAAATATTTGTCACATGTTTTATATGTAATATCAAAATAAGCAAGAGTTAAGCTGTAAACAAACGTACTGATAAAGTAAGTATTTAGGTCGTGTGCGACTTAGGCTAAGTTGCGTTCTAAATGAGGGAAATTCTAAGTTGTGTCGATAATGAATTGATGTGTCGATACGTGTTGATAAATGGCAAAATGTATGCAGTGCAAAAAATCCCAAAAAATCTCCCATTTGGTTTAGCATCAACTTAGCCTAACTCGCACACGTCCTTAATATAATCTTTGTTATTATTTGAATATGTAATAGATATATTAAATATTTATATAGAAATGATATAATATATAAATTATATATTTAATTTTTTAAATTCAAAAAGTCAATGAGAAAAAGAAGTACATATTAGTATTTAGGTCGTGTGCGAGTTAGACTAAGTTGCGTTTTAAATGAGGGAAATTCTAAGTTGTGTCGATAATGAATTGATGTGTCGATACGTGTTGATAAATGGCAAAATGTGTGCAGTGCAAAAAATCCCATAAAATCTCCCATTTGGTTTAGCATCAACTTAGCCTAACTCGCACACGTCCTTAATAAAGTTATTTTTAAGGCCGTGTGCGAGTTCGAGTAAATTGATGGTTGAGTGAGGGAAATAGTAAATTCTGTTGGCATAGCAGCGAATGTGGTATTTATATATAGCACTACCATAATTTATATGTCTATTCTTATTTATGTCTATTTAGGCCGTGTGCAGTTCATGTCCCTATAATTTTTGCGTGATTGCATTTTTGCATTTCAGTAAATATAGATCTCTGCCTCTGTGAATATGTCCAAAACTGAATGTCAAAACAATTGAATAAGCCGCTGTAAATAATATATTTTATTTAACTCATGTCTGTCAAAGTTGGCATTTCGGCTACTTACCGCGCGCCTGCAATTGGCTTGTTGTCTTCTGTGAGTTTTTGCAAAGTTTTTTTGGGAAGTGTAAGCCTAAGTTTTGCAATTGTTTTTATAAGTTTAACAAGTTGTGGAATAGCGGAATATTAATTACATTTCGATAATATGACGGAAGCTTTGGAATATAACGATATATCTACAGAAGTACGCGGAGTGCTTGTAAGTTAGACAAAAGCATTTTATTTCACCGGAATGTATTACACCATTTTTTCTATATTGCAGACACCTGGTCGTCTTAAATTAACTGAACAGAATATAATATTTAAAAACATAAAGACTGGAAAAGTCGATCAAATTTCCGTAGATGATATTGATTTAATAAATTCGCAGAAGTTTGTTGGCAACTGGGGTTTGCGTGTTTTTACAAAAAATGGCGTATTGCATCGTTTTTGCGGCTTTAAAGATAGTGAAGTTGAAAAAGTAGCGAAATTCATCAAGAAAGCTTATCACCAAGAGATGGTGGAAAAGGAGTTGTGCGTTAAAGGCTGGAATTGGGGTACAGCTCGTTTTAAGGGTTCCATATTGAGTTTTGACAAAGACTCAAAGACTATATTTGAAGTCCCATTGACGAATGTTTCACAATGTATGACTGGTAAAAATGAGGTTACCTTGGAATTTCATCAAAACGATGACGCACCAGTCGGTTTACTTGAGATGCGTTTTCATATACCAACGGTGGAGTCAGCTGAAGAGGATCCCGTTGAGAGTTTTCAAAATAATGTCATGAGTAAGGCATCAGTCATATCTGCTTCGGGAGATGCAATTGCGATATTTCGTGAAATTCATTGTCTCACGCCACGTGGTCGATATGATATAAAAATTTTCTCTACATTTTTTCAACTACATGGAAAAACATTTGATTATAAAATTCCAATGGATTCTGTGTTGCGTTTATTTTTATTGCCGCACAAAGATAATCGTCAAATGTTTTTTGTGTTGAGTTTAGATCCACCAATAAAACAAGGTCAAACTCGGTACCATTTCTTGGTTTTGCTATTTGGACCAGAGGAGGAAACTTCTATTGAGTTGCCATTCACAGAGGAAGAGCTAAAGGAAAAATATGAAAATAAACTTGAAAAAGAATTGTCGGGACCTCTGTATGAAGTAATGGGCAAAGTAATGAAGGTGTTGATAGGAAGAAAGATTACTGGTCCTGGAAATTTTATTGGGTAATATAACGAACATTGTTAAATGTTCAATATTTCCATTTATATATGTTTTTTATTTAGGCATTCTGGCACTCCCGCAGTTGGGTGTTCATTTAAGGCTGCTGCCGGTTATTTATATCCTTTGGAACGCGGTTTTATTTACATTCATAAGCCCCCAGTGCATATACGCTTTGAAGAAATCGCTACTGTGAATTTCGCACGTAGCGGTGGATCTACACGCAGTTTCGATTTTGAAATTACTCTTAAGAATGGCACAGTTCATACATTCAGTTCAATTGAGAAGGAAGAATATGGCAAACTATTTGATTTTATACAACAAAAGAAGTTGTCTGTTAGCAATATTGGCAAAGATAAGGGTGGCTATAAAGATGTTGATTTTGGTGATTCAGATAATGAAAATGAACCGGATGCATATTTGGCACGCGTACAAGCTGAAGGTCGTGAAAAGGAGTCAGATGATGATGACGGATCTGACGATGAATCCACCGATGAAGATTTTAAGCCGAATGAAAATGAATCTGATGTTGCTGAGGAATATGATAGCAATGTTCAAAGTGATTCTTCAGATGACTCAGATGCAAGTGGTGGTGGTGGTGGTGGTGGTGGTGGCGGTGGCGATTCAGGCGGTGAGTCTAAGAAAAAGCAAAAAAAAGAAAAGAAGGAGAAAAAGGAACGTAAAGAAAAAACAGTGGTAATTCAAATTTATATAAAATTAGAATTAAAAAAAATAATTTAAAAAATATGTATTTGCAGAAAAAAACTTCAAAGAAAAATAAAGATGCTAATAAGCCAAAACGTGCAACAACTGCTTTTATGTTATGGTTAAATGATATGCGCGAACAAATCAAAAAAGACAATCCTGGAATAAAGGTAACTGAAATTGCTAAAAAAGGTGGCGAAATGTGGAAAGAACTTAAAGATAAATCAAAATGGGAAGAAAAAGCAGCAAAGGATAAGCAACGTTATCTCGATGAAATGAAAGATTATAAGCCGAAAGATGGTAGTGATGATGAAGGTGACAAAGGTACAAAGAACAAACGTAAAAAGGAGACTTCTACGAAAAAAGCAGCTAATGTCTCTGGCAGTTTTAAAAGCAAAGAATATATATCTGAAGATGATGATTCAAGTGATAGCGGCAAGGATAAGGTGAGATATAACAATTGATGAAACCTAAAATCATTTTTTTAAAATAAAATTTATTGTTTTTCGTTGCAGAAAAAGTCAAATGATGGAGAACCAGAAAAGAAAAAGTCTAAAACTGTAAGTAACTAAATAGATGAATTGAATCTTGATGTATTTGTATATAACATTTAATTTGAATTAAATTGACTGTATATATTACTATTAACTGTTTTTAGTCGAGCAAAATGAAGCCAACAAAACAAGATAAAAAGAAAGATGATAGTGAAGATGATGATGATATGAACGAAGATGACTTAAGTGAAGAGGACGAATCCGGCAGTGCTTCCGCTGTAGACAGCGATTAAATCTGCTATAGGCGCCATTAAATACAAGCAAAAAAATATTTTTTTATACAAGTTTTAAGTTATTATTATATATAGTTATTAAAAATATCGAATACCACGTTTTTATATAGTATGGTGAAATACATACAAATATGTGATTTAACTTCCTATTCTGTTATTGATATGAACCATTCTGTTACTTACTATGTATTCAAATCTACAAATATTCCAAAATACATTAGGCAGAAAATTATATGCCAAATGAAATAAAAACAGAGCTTTTTTAATTTTGTATGAAAAGCATTTTGATTGAAATTACTGATACCGTCATTTATACACAATTATTTTATGATTTGCTTTTAATAATTTGCAAAGTATTTTTTATAGTTATTTCAATATAGAATTTGAAAACGTCGTGTTGTTATAACCGAGTGCTTATAACTTTCATTATGAATTTTAAGGATAATATGCTTAAATCGATAATCGCAATATATATGCTGCAAATAATATTTGTAAGTGTTATTTGTTGTTTATATATTGTTTATATTGTAAAGTTTGAAGTCACTGTTCTAGTGCTATGGCTTGTCAAAGTTCACCAACATCCAATGTTTCAATTTGGATGAAAATTTTTCTCATTTTTCGGAGTGTCGTATGAGGGCGGTTAAGCGAGATGTTACTGAAATAAACATTAAAGCCAAATTATTACAATCAATTACAGCTAATATTACTGTAAGTTACAGATAATAAATAATATATTTCTTATTTGCAGCAGAAAAAATGATCAAATACACTCTTGTGTCCAGGACTCTAATATCAACTTGACGTGTTGCTAAAACCTACGTTACTAACCAAATGTAAAGCACATTCTTATTATATCCGATCATATTACGGGGACTTGCCTAAAGAAAACCTATGTTATTAATATATTATATAAAAAGTCTAGACAATTAGTTGATTCTCTATTCAAATATTTATATTCATTTATATTACAATTCCATATTTCCTATAAGCTAGAAACATACGGCGTTGACTAGTATATTTGTTTATTGGAGAAGATAAGTATTAAATTTATCAAAAAAATCAAAAATCCGGTTGTCATATATGAATTTTGTTAGGATTATAATTCTAGCATCAATAGAATTTTGTGGATATATTCAAAAGAGTGTTTGGGATATTTCTTCCAGCCAGCGGTATAGAATCTATTAGAGTTTTTTCTAACAGAAAAAATATAGATGTTATACCACATTGAGAACAGTTCCAAATACCATAAAAATTACACTTTATACAATTTTTTTTATCGTTTTAGAGAAGATATCATACCATATATGTCTCTTCTTACCATTCCGGTTGTGAAACCTTGTTTATTACTTACACTTACGTAATTGAATCTCACAGTTATGGATCGTTCATGGTCGTATTTAGTAGCTTAGGCCAAACATCTTTTTCAGCTACTTAATGTCATTACTTAACGGTGTCGAGTACCTTCAAATCATTTGTCACCTTACCTCATTTTCTACCACCCCAAGTATCGAATCGAACGCCTTTTCACCGGAAGCACTTTCATCCATTCACATAGAATACCCAAAGTATTGATGTTACAGCTCATTCCCTTGTTATTTGATACTCATTCGGATCAATGTAATCTAATGGGATCTTTAGTTATTATCCAAGCTTTTCGATAATACAGCGAAAAAGGCATAAATAGAAAAAAGACTTGTAGTGTGTGATTTTTATTAGTCGAAATTGTCTATTATTTCCCAATTGTGATTACAACCCCAAGTAGTATCTGTTGATAAAAATGGGTTTTCGTTGAATCTATAGGCTGACGTCAGTTTTTAGTGTTCGTTTATTGTTTCAAAAAAATATACACTAATAAGATATTTGTAGGTTTATATTTCACAGATAGCTTAAAAATAAATCCTCAGCAATTTATGTTGTAATGGTTTTCTTCTCATCTCCCAATGTTTATGTGTATATTTCCACATATTTTAAAATTTTGTTACAGATGCGTTGGCAATTAATGAAGAAAGCAAGTGGCTATAAACCATTCCTCTATGATGTCTCAGCAGATGTATGTGACTATTTGGAAAAACCCAACCATCCATTTATTAATATAATACTACACTCTTTCGGTAATCATAGCATTAAAGTACAAAAATGCCCCATTAATGTAAGAATAATATAGATATTTAAAGTTTTATATTGTAAAATTACTTTATTTCATTTAAGGATGAAATTGGTTTGGTACAGTTTCAATTTCCGATGAAGACTTTGGAGTCTTTGCCATTGCCTTTTGGAGAGTATGGGCTATTTTCTACTTTTACTGTGCAGGGCATTGAACGCGCGGCAATAAAAGCTTATTTTGTACTAACAGAGTTTTAGAATACTATGAAAGCCTATAAACAATATATGTAAAATATATGTTAAATTATGTGTTACGAGTTTAATTTAAATCGCTTACTCTTTGATGCTAATTACATTATTATGAGTTTGAAATAATTTGGTTATACATTAATGTGGTCAAATAGTCTATGCGCAATATTTTTTGATATACTTATGTACAAAAAAAACACAAATATATTTATTATATTAATTTTTTAGAGTTATGTAAGGGAACAGAAATTAACAAGATTCTAAGCATACAGAGTAAAAGAGTACTATAATCATAATCAAGCGGCGAGGTTTCCTTAAATATTTTTTTCTTTTCCACACTTTTTTTACCCAACTACATATTCTTATATGTTATATACCCAACCATAACCCATATCTTCTTATTTGTAATTCCTTTCATGTTATTTACTATATTGATCTCCCTGGGCTATAACAACAACAACAACTGCAACTGCATATTAACACCGACCATATTAGATATTGATTACAAGAGATAAGTGTTGCTTATTACTAATTACAATAGAAATCTTTTGCTTATTTAACTCAATACAAACTAGATGTTTTTTAAAAAATTAACTGCTTAACTTAATTTGTCATGGCAACTCTTATATAGTTCAATTGCCAGAATAGGCTATTATTGAAGTATCGGCGAACTTAAGAGTATATGAATGTAGAAATTAATTAAACGCAGAAAATGTTAAATTAAGAAAATGTTTAAGAAAAATGTTTTGTTACTGAGATGAGTCATTTTTAAGAAAATCATAGAAAGAAGGCAAAACGAAATACACTAATCTCGCTATAACGCGGTACCCTTATAACACGTTTTCATATTACGCAATTTCAATCCTTCCCATATCACGGACATTCTCCCATATAACGAAGGGATTTATAGAGATTTTATAACTAGCTTCGCGTACCTTTGCACGTGTGTATACGAGGTATACCCCTATAACGTGTTTTCCTATAACGCGGAACCAATCTACCGCGTTTTACACAACAAACTCAAGTATTGAATGGATTTCTTTTTTTAAATAGCTAACGAAGCACTATTTACATTTTGTGAAAGTCTCAATTGTATCTTTTAATATAAATATAATACTATGAAATAATAATAAGTGTTTTTATATATTTATGAATCATTTTTGCAGGTGAAACAAAACGCACTTAAGTATCTTTACCTTTGAGTCTGCTCACTGTTTATTGACATAATTACAAATGAATGAATTTAGGTTAATCAGTCAATAAAATTAGGGTGCATTGACTTGTCAAAGCTGGAGAGGAGTACAAAAACTCTAACTCAACAAATTTGGCTTATCGAATAAAAATTTATGAATTTTGATATTTTTTAATTACAAACACGGTGGATAATTACTCTTCAATGAACTTATTTGAACTTAGTATCTTTGCATTCAAAAAAGGAAATACTTTAACCTTAAATTTTGAGAACTAGATGTTTTATCTGATATATAAGTGTAACTCAGTAGAGGCGACTGAGCAATAAAGTTCACACCCTCACAATATATTATAGGGCAACTGTGAATAAACTTCACACATAAATTTAATCAATTTTGAATCAATGAAATTATTATTTTAATACTCAGCGATATTTTTTGATAATTTTACAGGTTCATTATATAGAACAAGTGACAAAAAAGGATTTATGACGGCAAATATTTGAAAATATAAGTTACGAAATAAATTGATTTAAAAAATATATTTAGATTATGATAATTACATTGCCAATCATGGAAAGTTTAGGGATTCATATAAGCCTCAAACTCTCTGTAACTCTTTTAGACGATTTGTCTTAGTATTACAATAACAATTACTTCTAACAAACCATCTGGTTTTAATAAAAAAACCTTATACCGTCTTGATTCTTTCTTACAACTTCGATTGAGTATATTAAAACTGTTACAAAATGTATAGATGAATCGTAAGGTATGAGTACAATCATGTTCACCATAAAAGCAAGGCATAGGTAAATCATTGTTAAGATTTACCTAATTTTGTCCAGATAATGAAGAAACCAACAAAACATAAACGTTAAAATTTTTTTTTGATTTGGCTGAAGCTGCTAGCCGTAAAGAAGTCATTCCGTTTGTCCAAGTTTCTTTAATAGAAGAGTTCCGATTTTGTAGTGTGAAGAAAAGGTTAATAGAGATAATAAATGATGAGGATCGGTGGGAATATTGTATGGAGAGGATTGATGGGAAGGATGTAGTGATAATGAGTGAAAAAATACTTGTCAATACGAATTTTATATTTTATTTTATACAAAATATTTTCCACAAACGAGTTCAGGTGGTCTGGTAGTGTTGGGTTTATAATTAATGGCATTACGAAGAATTCTTTTCTTGAATAAATAAATTTATATTGCTCTAAGTGAAGCTGGCTAAGTACCATATTAGAAACACATGGGTAAGCATATAGCGGATTGGTTGTGCAAAGCAAATTAGTTAAATGGTACTATTTAATTGTTTGTGCCTGAGACGACAATTTTTCAGATGGTCGTTTTCTATGTGGGATCGATCAAGTAATGCTAAGCAGAAATCACAACTTCAATAATTTGAAAAAATGGCAAACATTTTCGATTGATTGAGCATGATTTCTCAAGTACTGAACATGGTAAGGAAAGTAATAAGTAAACTCATTAGAAATTCTGTACAGGTTAAAAGATATTTGATATTTAGCTTTCAAGACACTTTTACCTATTGGTAAGTATTTACAATTATGTATTAGCCTTTATATATTGATTACTTTTATCTTGTAGCGCTTCTATCTTAGAGTATACTAAAGATGGAAGTTCCGTATATCGAGAGAATTATAGGGTTGTCTACCTGTCATCCGTAAACAATATTTTAAAATATATATTTTTGGATCCCATCCACCGAGTTTTTAACAATGACGACACTTGATTTTTTAATATGTAGAGTTAGAACAACAAAATTTAAAATTAATAAGAATTTTAATATTGGGGTAACTTTTTACCAATTACAACTGTGACAACTGTTTCTTTTTCTTTGCATTATGTTAAATTGTGTTTCAGATATAACAATTCGAGCATTTTTGATGGTTTGAGTAACATATATATAATATGTAACATATAATAAAAATATATATATGTAAAGTTTTGGCACACCAGTAAGCGTGCTCTTAAGTAGTAGTAGTGTGTGTGCTCTTAAAGAGATCAGATTATGAGTACTTGCTATACGTGTGAAGATAAACTAGGCACAAAATAACTCCTTTAACTGTAATATATATATATTATTCCGGGACCACATTTTTTATGATAACCTGGCTGAGGTATAAAATCGTTCATTGCTCGAAGTTTAGTAAATTAAGTATGACTGACTAATCTTATAATTTTGGCTTTAAACATATTACAGTTAATTTTGTCGGTAGGCGTTTTTATCCATTAATTATCATAAACTATGTGAGATGTCATATTTACACATAGTGATATAAACACACAATATGATATATAGCGTAAAGTATTGTTCATTTAATTCTATCGAGGAATGACTTAGAAAAAAGCTTTTAATGCATCTAAATTGTGTCTATCTATAATATTAAATAATAATGAAAACCAAATTGATGTTAAAAAATATATTTTAATCAACAACTATCCAAAGTTTTCAAAAATGCTATTAGCAATTTAGAATTGTTACAAAACGTTATAAAACAAGATGAAATATATATTATTTTAAGATTTAGAGATGATGTCATGTGAGAAGAGTGCTTCAGTTTCATGCGTACTCTGTCTTTTTAAGTTAGTCTTTTTTTATAATTAGTATATTTATAGGTGTTCAAATTTAGAATATTGCAGCTTTTTTATATTCTTGAAGTTTATTTTCCGGAGCTTATGCGATCCATCCAATAAGCAAAGAGGCGAATTATTTCTATGTTTGGATTCCAGAAGAGGTCAGGTTGCTGCAATTTAAAAACAGTATATAAGACCTTATATATTTTGTGTGCGTTATTTCAACAAGTGGTGCTATTGTTGTTATTAGCAATGGTGTAGATGATTTAATGAGAGAAAATTTTGATGAGATTAATTTGAAATTTATCGATTGCAAGTATTGAATTTGAAAAATGCAAATTTTCAAATCCAAATTCTCAAAACTTTTCTTCGAGGTATTTGTATTCGAAAATGAAATTGTCTCTACTTTCCTCTATCCATTTGTCAAAGTCAAATTGCACATAATCGCCCCTTTCGTAATCACTTGTTATAAGTACCGGATCAGAACGTCTTTTCAGCCAAACTCGTTCACCTTGATGGAAGCGCCAACGAAGTTTTTTTAATGCCTTTGATGCTAAATAATTAGACATGGAACCATTTGTGTAGTAAAATATGAAAAACAAGGAATTAATTTCAAGACTGTCGTAAAACTGTGTAGTGTTCCAGAATTGAAAACAATTTCCGGGATATTGCTTTGGAGTTGTAGGCGCAACATATGGTATATAATCGGCTTTCTCGGGTGGCGGTGAATTGAAACCGTCAAATTTCACAAACTCATTATAAGAAGAATTCATCAATTCTAACTGCCATTTTGTTATATCGTCATAGCCCTGAGTACCTGCTGGTATAACTGGATCATTGATTTTCAATATGCGATCGCCAAGAACTGATGGACCAACTTGAGTTTTACGATCGGTTACAAAATATTCTTCATCTGAATCGACATCATTAGCATTTTCTTTCATTTCTAGCTTAACCTCGCTGGGCAAGGGCTGGATTTTGGAATTTTTTGTTGACAACATTTTTTGTTCCGTTTTCATATCCGTTTTAGATACTTTTACATCTGCTGCAGTTTTCTTTAAGGTAATATTTTTAAATTGTGGAGAATTATAGTTCAACAATGGTGGTTTACTGGTATTCCTCATATTTGATGGTTTTTGTGAAGCAACCGAAGCATATGTAGTTCCTGAACAGACATTCATGGATGTATATTTCGGTTCTGCCGCCTTTCGCTTGAAGGAAGTATCGACTAGTATTATTTTAGATCTTCGCGATGTCGATGAATTTATTTCTTTTTTATGTGGACTGTTCGGTAATACAACAGAATTTACAGACTCAAAAACTGGAATGGATTTAACATTTGTGTTACTTGAATTTAAAAAGACTGTTTCGCCTTCGCGCGTAAGTAGTTCAGCTGTTGACAAATTTGAAGACACCGAAACTGGCTTAAGCTCCAAATTTGCTTCAGCTTCAGAGTCTGGATTATCCACAACTAAGTTAGGTGTGGACCTGGAGACTGTGCTAGTGTACCAATTTGTGGCACAACCTGAAGCAACTACCTCTGCGATTGTAGGTCTTTGGTCTTTGATATCTAGATTTGCTGGTGCATAAAACTCGCGCAAACTTTGCAACGCCTGTTTTGATGTTGAAGGTATATCGTCATTATTTATAATTTTACTTAATGTCACTTCAGGATTCCAACCTTCATATTTATATGATCTTTCTGACGTATTTGGTGTTAAAGAGTCAAGTTTGTTATCAATATCAAATATATTATTATCGAATGGAGTAATTGTTTTGGCTCGCGAAGCTGCAGATATACCAGCATCTAATACGTCTTTCGTTTTATGCGAACGCAAAGGATTGGATTTAGATAGAGTTGTAGGTCTTGGTATTTCTGCAATTGACTCCAATGGTTCAGTTTTAATTTTATTTTGTCTTTCTTTTGACGATGATGCATCTGCGCCATTACACCCAGGATCATTATATGTTATTACTATACTACTAGATCCTGTTGAACTACTTGTCGACCGTGGGGAATCGCTGTTTTCAAAAGTGCTTAAAATATCTTCATACAAGTATGTATTTTCAGCAAACTCTGGTTCTTGTGACGAATCAATATAGTATTGCACATCATCTCTTATTTTATGAATAGGCTCATATCCGATTGTATCATTGTCCAGTAAGCGCAATATAGTTTCTAATCGTTCGACATGCCAGTTGTGACGTGATAGTCTAAATGTAGACCTGTCTAACCGTTCCTGCTTTTCATTATCTAAACGCTTATTTTTTTTTGAAGTTGGACAACTCTTCAGCGATTCTATTTCACTCTCGAATAAGTCGATTTGTATTTGCAAGGAGTATATAGCGTTGGTTAGCCAATTACGTATGTCATCTTTAATACGATCACAGGGATCCATTTTTTGAGCAGCATCAAGACCTTCCTTGGAATAAGCCTTTGTTTTTGTTTCCCTCTCTATAATTTTAAAACGCTCCATTTGCGTTTCTATTAAACGTTTGTTGTTATATAACTCGGTTTTATCTTTTACTTCGCTCAATTGTAGCCAAACTTTTATTTGATCCCTTAAACGTTGCAATTTTTTGATTTCTTTTTGCAAATCATTTTCGTACTTCTTCTTCAAATTCAAGTTTTTCGAGTTATGTATTTTATTCCAAATTTCTTCAAATATCTCGACACCTTCAGCGACCTTCTTCATTCCTCGTTCTATTTCAATCAGCAATTTCTTCGAAGCAGCCATCGTAAGTATTTTGAAAAATATGCTAAAGAAATAAATATGCAATACAACAATTATTAACTAAATAATTAATTTTTATTACTAATAAATATTAACAATTTAATAACTTAAGGAAAAATGGAAGTAATACCTCAAAACAAATAAAATTATATTTTAAATATATATAATCTTAAAGTTACTATCCCTAAGATAGAAATGATACCAACAATATGAGGACATTTTAATGATATAATAGTTATAAATATTTCTCTCTCTTCAACATATAATAGTAATTCCAAATTTATCTGAATATAAACTAAATAAATGATCTCTTAATACAACAAAAAAAAAAAAAATCGTATGAAAAGGGCTTTTCTATTAAGTCGTGATACAAACAGTTTTTAGATATAAAGTTCCAAAACCCCTACTATTTTTATATCAATTTAATACATAAATAATTCACTATATGTAACTAAATAAACACAATATGTGACTCAACCCGCAGCGATCAAGTAAACTCCAGCGATAAACATATTGGGGTGGTCCAAAAAATATTTTGTTAAATCTTATCATTATAGACGTAATACTTTCAAAATCCCTATGAACTATGAAATACTAAAGAACGTGATGAGTGGTTGTTGGTCGTCACAGATAAGCGGATTAAGAACATGGATTCGGACGTCTCGTGAATAGATCGAAATAATTATGTACAAGCAATTTTATTTTCTTTGACACAGTTTGTAAGCAATTGATTAGACAATGTTGTTCAAACGAATATCGTTCTAACGTTCTTGACGAAAATTGCTTGGCTGACTTCACGAGTTGCTCTAAAATGTTATTCCCTAACGTGAGAAATGCGAAGCACAGTTGGCATATTGATTGTTAAGGCTACAAGGGACAATTTTAAATTAAAGGTAATTTGATCAATGTTCTGTAGTTAAGAAAGAAGCTTAAAAAAAGGATATAAAAACAAAACAAAAATAAAAAGGATTGTTTCGAGAAGTATAGGATATAGCCGTGCTCAGCGTTATTGAGCTATTTATCCAGAAGAATACAAATAATGTTCATTAATAGTTAGAAGTGAGTTGAATATTCGACTAATCTCAAAACTCGTTTTCACTATTATATTACGCAGGAGTGTTTGGGTACAGGAACTTTTAAAAAACTTATAGTCTAAGGACAAAAACAGAGAGACAATCCAAAGTGCAATTAATAAATGACAAAAAAATGTCTATATGCTGAAATGCACGCTTGAAAATTTGAAATTCTAGCAAATCAAGATCTTGCTAGAAAATGTGAAAGAAAACAGTATTCCTCGTTCTACCATTATTGTGAACAATGAAGATTTTTTTGAAGTAGTGAATATTAGACGGGACACATAATCGAAACAAAAAATATTAAAATTATACTTATATTTACTGTATTATGCCGGGACTATATTTCAATAATCTAATAAAATAATAATAATGTATAAGGAATCTAATTGGATACTCTTATTTTAGATCACAAACTGATAAGGACTTTTGTGTCAAAATGCGAGCACCTATTCATTTGAAAAATAGCAAAAATCATTTGTGAAATCTGAAGATTATAAACTAATTTTGTGTCCTCGCAACAGGGATACAATCGATATAATGAATGCATGCCACACTTTGGAAAAGTTATGGTTTGCTTATGCTCTGATAAGAACACTAATAGACGATTGCGGGTTCCGTCTATTCGAGAAGTTCGACGTGGTAGAGTTAAGGCAAAAATTTTACAGGAACAGCAATCACTAATAGTAATATTCTCATTTGGAATTGTTGGGACACAATAAAAAGCTACGCCTGACACTATTTTCCTGTCAACCAGCATTTCTGCCTACGTATGCTCCGATCAAGCTGTAGAGCTTTTGTCATTATATGTATTAATAAAAAACTATATAAAAACTGTCAACAAATTAATTGAAAATAATACACCACCTGAATAGTAATAAAGTAGTTCCAAAAGCTACCGCCTGATAGTATATGTTATCAAAAATTTGGTTTAAGAACATTTGGATATTTTTTAGAAAAAGAAATTTCAAGAAATCGTTAAAGCTATAATCAGCAAGAACTGAAAAAATAAAAATAAGTTTCTTTATTGTATTAATTAAAATATTTACAAAATAATATACATATATATTCTGCATAGTGATATATAATTTGTATAAGAACAATGGCTCAGTTAAGACTTTCTAGGAGGTACAAAAATATGAGGCAATATTTATATTAATTATACAAGCAAAAACTAGTCGCGTCACCTAGCGTACATGAAATTTCTAGAACGATTATATAAAAAATTTTTAACATATGGCGCGTTTAGTTACTTGTGTATTTTATGTAAAAATTTGCAACTTGATATCTTGAGTACCCACCACTATCGACATATAGCATAGCTGAAAGATTGTCTGAAAATACCACTCACATAATATTCAAGTGAAATAAATAGCTATAGACTCCAATTACATATCATATTTGTAAATATGTATATATTTTAAATAATCAATAAATATTACATTAATGAAATATGAGAGCTTAGGAATCCGTTTAAAAACACATTTTTACAAATGAAAATGAAATTGTATTAATATGTGTTTGTATGTATATGTATATACGCTAATGCGTTTATCTACTAAAACAATACTATAAAACTATATAATACATAGATATTAATATAAACTCATACAGATGTATATATATTAAATTTGCAAGTCATATATAAATGTGTTCTTAACCCATTTCTAAATAAATTGGATATATATATATATGAAATAAGATATGTATGTGTGGCGTCTGCTAAAATATCGAACGATGCTTCGTGAAAATATCGTTGGACCTCGTAGACGAACAACCTCGTAGAATCGCATGCTTCAAAGGAGTGTACTAGTGTCTTTGAATATTTTTTGTGAAATAAAATAACAATATATGTTACCTCAGCTATATTAAATAAATTATTTCACAAATTATACATTTCAACCTTAAGCTTATAAAAATAAGAAATTATTCTTGATAAGTGCAACTTTAGGAAATAGAGCTGAAGTTTACAAAAATGGGCGTCATTTTTTATTGCTAAAATGATAAGGTGGTCATTAAGGTTTTAGTAACCAACTTATCATAAAACCTTAAGGTTATATATATTTTAAAATATATATGGCGAGTATGCTTAAATGTTTTCATATTAAACATATTATGACGATAGAAGCATGTATTATCTTACCGACGTAATAACAAACCTTTATATACATTGTCAGGATAAGCTAAAATTTTAGTTTTAATTTTACAAAAACTTTAATAAAATCACAATTTTTCAACACAAAGAATTGTCGGTGCTTAACTTAAAAAAAAACGTACTACTCTAAGAACACTTTCTGCTTCTAGTTTCACAATTGTAAGCTATTTCTAGGACTCCGCACAAACCCGTCAACCGTCACTGACTTCTCAACACGAAATGAAACATAGATTGACTAAAATATATCCTCTATACGGCAGAATGGATAGACAATTCCAGCTTTCTGACTTGACGAAAGAAACAATGAAATGAAAAACTCCCCACAATTCTCAAATTCCAATAGTTGCGAAATCAGAGTTGTTAAAAGCGCTGATAGTGATTTTTTTCTAATTAGAATAACTTATATTTGTTCTAGAAACAATGTCATTATAGAAATATCTGTAATATAATATTTGCATTTGCAATTGATAATATATGACATTTATATATATGTATACATATATAGACCATATATCTTTTTACATAAAACTTGATATATTGCGCGTTAAGGTGTTATTGATGTCCTAAACCTAGAATTAACTATCCTTCTTATTAAATACAAAATAACCTTGAATTTGAATTGTAAAATAATAATAAAAATATTTTATAAAAATAAGTTATTACTTTTATATACTTACACTTATCTCGCACTCGTCTCACAACTAATCTTTGTACCATATGTTGATTGTATGTAAATGGTTGATCTATATTGTATTTCCAAAAACTATTTGCAACAATTATTTCATAATTTTTTTGTATCGAAATAAATATTTTTAAATTAAATTTTGTATCCCTAAAATTTTTGTACAATTTATATTTTTAAAAAATATTAAATTTTACATTACATATGTAATATTGATTTCACAAATTTTAATCAAACTCTGTTTACTGAGATGCATTTCTTTTATAAATAAATTTTATAAATAAATTGTATTAAATTACAGAAAAGTGTAGATATCAAATAGATAAATAAGGTAAATACATGAAGATTTTGACCTTTCTCAAATAATTTGAGCCATTAATAAACCTTTAACATTACGTGTACACTATTAACTCGATAACTCCAAAGTAATATTTGATAAGTGGGGCCATCGATTAATGTCTATCCCTACAATTGATTTTAGTGTAATGACATATATTAAATCCAAAATCCTTTTTTGTGCGTGTTTTTAGAAAAATTGATCCCTTTACTTCATTTCCTGGTTACACCAATTAGAGTGAACTGATTAATCAGCTGTTGTGGACTAAATTTACATTTGCATATTGCGTTCATAGCATATTTGTCCTAATAATTAAATTCACTATTACCAATTTTTTGACAGAATTATAAATATTAAAATAGATTTATTTATTTATATCCATCTTTTACATTAAATACAATTTTTTAGTTTGTTGCAATTGTAGTAATCGTAAACATATATTTATAATAGCATAAGAGAAAGTAAATATATGTGGACTTATTAAAATATTTTAATATATGAAATATGTAATATTATTACTTCACATTATTTTGGGACTTTAGCATCACATCAGCGCAAGGTTTGACACTGTTGCGAATTTCCTTTAACATACCTGACTTGAAGCCAGGGCGCCGATAGATATAAAACGTATGAAAGAAATATGTTTGAATAATGGAAATAGTAGATAAGATGTTTCAAATGCTTATAAAAGACAGAAGTTAGTGAAGAGATCAATGCCGTAAAATTTTACATATTAGCGCAATATAAACAAAAAAATGTGTTATATTTAAGATGTTATAAGCACATAGAAATAATAATGGTATATGCCTTTATGAATGAATATATATATTTAATTGTTTCGTATTATGTGCATTATGAAATTCTTTATCTAATTTTTGAAAATAAATTAAAAATAATCAACAAAAAGTGAAGAATAACATAAATGTTTCTAAGGGCAGGCATTTTTGATAAATTTGCTTATACAAATGTCTCTCGTTTGTTTGTTTACATTACCGCATAAACTGCCACATCTAGCAGTGTCGTGCAAAACTTTAGCACAATAACAAAAAAGTGATTATTTGTTGTTTTATTGAAATGAATACACAAATTTTATATTTTTTTTGTGCGCACTTGTAAGGTACCAAATGTGAAATCGTAAAAATACAAACCTAATATTATGATTTGGTAATTAAATGAAGCTGAACTTATAAATTGGCATAAAATTGGTTACTTTTTTTATGACAAATTAAGTGTAGTTTCAGCTGTTCTCCAATAAGTAAGTATTTCTATCATGTATAATTTATCAATGTTTATGCATTTATATATTTTCAAGCTAATAAATAAAATGGTAGCATTAATTAACTTTTAGTACATATTCTTAATAATTTTTTTATTCCCACAATAAAAGTCTATATCATTTCTATATGGGGCGCTTCTGTTGTTTTCACTGCTGTTTAATAAAAAATTTTAGTGAATTTGAAAGAATTAATAATATGGATTTCATGTACTCATTATTTATATATTTCTGAAACAAAAGGAAAGGTTGATAAGTAGAATAGAGACTCTTCATTACTATACGAAATGATTTTAATTGAATTTTATTGTAGTCGAATAACCATCAAAGATGTTGAGCAGCTAAAAAGCTCAAATAAGATACTAACTCTATCTAATAAGATACTATTAATTGCTATGCCATGCCATACTATGCTGGATATAATTTTCATGCTCTAGCAATGAAAGATCGTCGAATATAAGTAATTTAGTAAAAATTTCAAATAAACGCATTGAAACGCCATGCTTACAGAGAGCGTATTAAAATCGTATCTCTTTTAAAGTTCCACTTCCAAACACTCTTTGTAAATATAATTGTTCAACGGATTTCTGCGTTAACCTTTGTAAATATTTCAGCGTAACTTAGAAGATTTTCTGCGTTCATATATAACTATAGTTGAGACATTAATCTGCCACATTAATCTACTCTGGAAACGAAGACGCAATCGAAATAGTGGATTTCTCCTTATGAATGTGCTCTTAAAAATTTTAAAACAGTATCATCACCACAAAAGTTATAGCTTCTATTTCTTTATAATGTACATGACCTAATTATGATTGATTACTCGAAAAAAGGAAAGAAATGAAAGTACATCTAGCGGCACTTTTGGAATGCTTGGATGGTTAAATCAATGAAGAAAGATTGCATTGCATAGGAATAAAATCGTCTTTCACTGCGACAACATTATGTGGCGCTACAACATCTAACATATTCGTCAGTATTGAATATATTTAATTTTTATTTATTTTCAAATTTGTAGAAATGGTGTAGGATCATGGAGAATTTAATTATTCAGAACGTATACAAATATTTGAATAGCATGACAGAAATTATATAGACTTCAAACGACTTTATGTAGAAAAATAAAATTAAAAGTTAAGAAGATTTTAACTAATTTAATATATCACTGACTTATAAAACTTTCCTGATATTTGTATTTGTATTGTATTATTATTTATTTGTTGTCAATGTACATGAAAGCTATCTGAAAGATTTTGAGAAACCTAATTGATCGGGACCCAAAAATGAATTTGTTAAAATTGTTTGGTTAAGATATGGAACAAAAGAAAGATATTGAAGATGAGGAAAGAAGGAATTATGTGTCTGATGAACTTGTGTGAGAATATACAGATCCTTGTCATTCCAGGTGATTTGCATAATTACAAATCTATTAGTAACATAAATCTAGAATTACATTTGATCAATATTGTAGTTTGATGAATTCAACAAAATTTTTTCCATTCCAAAGTTCCCAAATTTCGATGTTATATTGCAAGTTATAGCTTCCATTTAGTGAATTTTTATACTTAAAGTCACATTTGACAACAATTAATGTAAATTAATTTAGAATATATCGGCAATTTCAGTTCAAAAAAAATATTGTTTTTTATTTAAAAGAAACGAAGTAAAAATGTAAAGATTAATTGACGAAGTGGAGTGTACGCGTTGAGTTCAATATTCTTACAAGTTCGTTGTTTAAGTCTTTTGTTAACAAATTGTTTTCTTTAAAAACAATAAAATGTCTAACGAAAACAATTTTTTACGAAATTTAAATTTTAAAGAATTGTTTTTCGGTTTCTGAGTCGTTTAGGAAATTAACACTTCCGATTTATTAGCTTTAATTATGAAATGTTGACATTCTGACTGGCGGCAAACGATTTTGATTTATGGAATTAAACGTCTGATTGACTGTTTGATTGATTGTTTACTGAAATGTGGGCTTTATTAAGTGTAAAATAAATTTTGATAATTGGAATTCATTAATTATAGTACATATTTCCTTTTAAGTGAAATGAAAAATAATTTCGATTACAAAGAAAAATTATTAATTCTAAAGAACTTTCCGGATAACATAAAATCGTGATGTAGCGTTTCAAAAGTTAATTTTTCCAATAACATGAATTGACCATCAAATTTTAAATAAAAATATGTTCATTAAAAATGTAGATAAAATTTTTAGTAAATTAAACATCAAAATTTTTGATGCATTTATAGATGATAGTTTGTGACGATCGTTTGGAAAACGTCAATGATTCAAACACACAAGTATTTGATATGTCTTAATCAAATTGATACATTGAAAGTCCAAAAATCCAAAAATCAATTGCTAAATTTTAGGTTATCTTTCGTAACTCCTAGTTTATATGGTATATGTGGTATTGAATATTGTAGTAGGCGACCTTAAGAGAAAAGGTGTTAGAGATTGGGGCGTCAGCGCATTAGATCGAGAGATATGTTATGCTAATAAAGGGTTTGTGATTATTTGAACAGTTGCTTCTGAATGTTTTTCTACTTATTTTTAAATATGTGTCTTACTAGAAATTGACAATTTGCATTCCTTTATTGTTTAAGTAATAAAAATAATTCATTAGAATTATGACAATTAATGTAGTATAAGAGTTTTTCGCTTTATTCTGGAAGCCATTGGATGAGAAATAATAAGCTCATTTTAAACTAATCTAGAGTAATCGTCATTAAAATTAATACAAATTTTTATAAACAGAAATTTATATACAAAACTCTAAATAACAATCATTTAATCATTTAATCATTTTATATTCCATATCCAAAAGTAGCACCTGGCCGTACTATTCTATGTGGCTAATGACCAAAACCTTAAAAGTAAGTTGATTACATAGTTTATTTAAAGAGCCCTTAGCTGATATCTTCAAAGAATCTTTAAATTTGAGTTTCTGGTTCCTTTCAAAGTTGTAACCAGTACTTATTTTGTAATTATTAAAAATGAAATAAAAGTTAATTCAAAACCTTCAAATAAAGATGATTTATTTAAATTATATAAAAATCAGTCATATATATATATTTTGTTTATATAATATATGCTTATTCTTTAACTTATTTCTTTAATTAGTTTCCATATCATTTGTAGTGGAACACTGAAATGTTTTTTGCTAATTATGAACTCTACTACGTCAAATAATAAAATTTCAGTGAATAACTAATAATTAATTTTTTTTTATATAAAATCACATTTTATTAATGTGTCTTATTTACCCAAATTTTTCAGAGCTTTAATTATATTGTAACTATTTTTATAAGTTATTGGTAAACATCAAGATTTTTGGGGCATAAAAACCCAAACACACATTTGTTAGCTCAATTTCTTTTGTTTTCAAAGCTCTACAGCAATTAAACTAAAATGACGAAACATAACTGATTAAAAAACATTTAAAAAAATAAATAAATAATAAAAGAAATTTAAAATAATTAATTTATTGTTATTAACGAAATGATTTGAGTGAAAAAAAAA